TACTTGTCTAAGAGCTACAGAATTGAACCTTCATTTCTGTATAAATGGTCTTTTTTTTTCTCTAATGTGAAATGGATTTTTCCAATTTACTAAGCTGACCTCTTGTTAATAGCATCACACAGAATTTGTGTGTATGTCAGGATAAGGAGTTACCTGGTAATAATGGATGCTGTCGGGGGGATCACCCATTGTTTTGATAGAGGAGCTGCTGCAAAGCTGTAATGAAACAGTAGTACCCTACTGTAGTGAGATAAAACATGCCCTTTGCTCCAGTGGTGGCATTACAGAGTCTTTTCTACTCTGTCACTTCTAAACAGATTCTACTGTGAGTTTCCAAAGCTGAGTTTGTTGTTTTAAGCATGCACCTCAGCCTGTACAGATGTTCCCAGCTTTAAAGTATTGATGAACAAATATATTCTGTAGGACAGCGGAGCTTTTCCTGAAACGATCTTTGGAAATGCGAGAGCGAGTCCTGGGATCCGACCACCCAGACTGTGCACAGTCTCTGAACAACCTGGCAGCCCTGTACAATGAGAAGAAGCACTATGACAAGGCTGAGGAACTCTATGAGAAAGCTTTGRACATCAGGAGGAGAGCCTTGGCTCCAGATCATCCTTCCTTGGCTTATACTGTGAAACACCTGGCAGTGCTGTACAAAAAGATGGTGAGCACAAGCCTGTTACCTCTTCTGATCACCTAAATTAACTGTAATGCCTTGTGTCTTAATGGAAAAATCACATTTYAGGGWGCAGGAATAGTTCTTCTTACMCAATGACCTTGAGCTTACAGTCAGTTTGAGGGYAACTCRAATGCTTATGAGAGAGATAGTGCTTCACAAATAAACTGTCTGGCTGAGCCACCTTTAACTAATGTTGACTCAGAAAGATAAGCTTTACTCCTGTGCAAAATGCACTGTGAGGAATAACATTAATATTAGTATAAACTTCTGCATTTCATAATTTCAGAATGTTTTATGAATATTTGTGTTTGTAGATGGTTGTTCTAACCATTCGGTATTATTAATGTAATAATGATAAACCTTTTCCAACTCTTGCCATCCAGCTAAACTAAAAACAAGTTCAGTGAATAACAAGAATTTTATATATTTTGTATTTTCACATTTTACTGTTCTCCAGAGGTAATCCCTTGGATCAAATTTGCACATGTTTTTGCTAAGTAATTGTTACCTGCTATTGTGTGCATTAAATGGTATTGGGTCACCTCAGCTTCTAATTTTTATGCTGTTCAAAGCTGCAGCACCACTTAATATTTGCATTAAAAACCTCTGCTAGTTTGAAAGGRCACAAATTAAAACTCAGTGGAGAAAATTATTTCAATAAAAGTACAACTGAAAATTCTTTTCAATTGCCTTCTCAGTTAGACACTTGAGAAGAAAAAATAAATTAAGAAAGGAAGAAATAGACCTAGCTGACAAATACATTAATTGGGAGTTTAATATGCCCAGTATTTTGGAAAATTAGGTTCTAATAAATATTCATGATAAACTGTGCAGAATATAGCTATTATTTAATCAAAGTTAACCCCTTATTCTAGAAACAGATCTTCTCCGAGGCTTTTGTTTAAAATAGGTTTTACTGTTACCATCTTGATACAACGGAACTGAACATTTTTTTTCCCTGTTATTTCTAGGGAAAGCTTGACAAGGCTGTTCCTCTGTATGAGCTAGCRGTTGAAATACGACAGAAGTCATTTGGCCCAAAACACCCTAGTGTAGCAACTGCTCTGGTAAACTTGGCTGTCCTTTACTGTCAGATGGTAAGTTTTTCATGTCTAATGTTTATTTTTCCTATCTTAAGCATTTTCATGATTTGTACCGAAATGAAACAAAAGAAACTTGATCATATTTAAAATGGAAATTCCTTGTAGGACTTGCAAAATCTTGGGTTCCATTTTAAATGTTGAAAACACATTTGGTAAGGAAAATGAATGCGGGAATGGGTGGGGGGGAAATGATAATTGCTGAGACTGGTATGCTTGAGACTGTATCTAGGATGCTTTGATACTGTGTTGGCAAAAAAAAAGAAAAGCCAATGTAATACAAATCTGTRACAAAGAAACTTTCTGCTACCCAAAGAAAAAACAGATTGAAGCTTTGCCTCTCTATGAACGTGCACTGAAGATTTATGAAGACAGCTTTGGCCACATGCATCCTCGTGTGGGGGAAACGCTGAAAAACTTGGCTGTGCTAAGGTTAGATCATCCTTGCCCTATAAAAGCAAATTACTGCCTGAAACAAAACATCTGGGCTTGTGTACTTTCTAGTAAAATAGAGTTTTAAGCACACTATGTTGATAGTTTGGTGTATATTTCAATTTGATTGAGTTGAGAGATTTGTTTTATTTGCTTATTTCAAATTTGTTTTACTCTTTTCCAAAGCTATGAAAGGGGAGACTTTGAGAAAGCAGCTGAGCTTTACAAGAGAGCTATGGAAATWAAGGAAGCAGAGACTTTGTTGATAGGTGGAAAAGCAACTTCTCGACATTCATCAAGTGGAGACACTTTCAGCTTAAAAAGTGCATTATCACCAAATGCTTTTCTGGAACATGGACAAAGGTGATATAAACCTCCTCCAAGAACACAACAGGCACTCTCTACTGATATTTTAAAGCAGACAGAAAATTACTGAAACAAATCCATTTTTCCCAGGATGATGTGCTGTTTTGGGACTGACACCTGTCTTCATGAATGACAGGGAAACAAATGTTTCAGCCTGAAACCCTTCTGCCTTAACTTCGCAGACTGTTACAGTGCAAAGAGAGCTTCTTTCACTGTATATGGGTACACACTTTAGTTACTAGCTCAAGTTGTAGCTAATGCCAAAARCATGGACTGGATGCCTCTTAGCCTAAGTGCCAGGTTTATAACAAGTTAAGATGAACCTCTTGTATATACTCTAAGGGGCAGTTTTTATTTCTGTGTTGTAATAGCATGGCTTAGAGGATTTGTGTATTTTTGTATCATCAATCCTTCCTGCCTTGTTGCAAGCCTTTAAAGTTGTTTCTGAAGAAAGGATAATTTTGAAAAACCTTTGAAAATACTGTTTAACCTGAAGTTTTACCTGCAGGGTTACTTCAGCCTCAAGCAAACTTTCATTCAAGGGACTTGTGCAAAATTAATTGGTTTCCTTGGGAAGCTAAGGTATCTAAATATATCATCATCTACAGTTAAAGCTGTTGTAAGATTCCACTCTGTTCAATAAAAATACYACCTGTGAGGAATCAGAATGAAAATGATTATGGCCAGATTTCCTCTTGTTAAACCTTTAGCAGTACTTTCAATATTTAATCTTACTGAATCCCTTAAAATGCAAGAATGTTTGTATTAGCTGGGAAAACCTAGTGATGCAAAATAGTTTGCCATCAGATAAAGAAATCTTAATCAAATCTACCTGCCTTTTGTATTTCTTAATACCTGAGTCATCTGTAGGARTCAGAGTTCTGTTCTCATTCAGTCCATAAATGCATGCATCAATTTAAAACATACTAAAAAAAGACCTTTTATAAAAAATGAAAGTAAGTGGAAAATTAATTGAAACCCTACTATAATATTTCAGAGACAGCTAATGTAAAGATTAATTTGATCCAGTTTGAAAAATGCAAATGGCCTTTACCTCAAAGGAGTAATTACTTTCCACAGTGTTTTTTTCTCTTTTGGAGTAGAATTAAATATTACTCATTTCAGCCCYTGTTCTGATTAGGAGGAATTTGTTATTTTGGTAAGGCAATAACTTGGCAAAAKAAATAAACTTGTCAAAATAAAATTGTCAGTACAAATATACAATCCAACTTTGATTTTTAAGATAAAGGTTTAGTTGAAAAAAAATATCAAAAAAACTCTTGAAGGTGTTATGATACGGCATGAAGAACTGACACTTTGTAATAGCTCTCTGGACATTTTCCTCTTACTCAGAAAATGGGTTTATAAGCAAAGCAAGTGGTTTACCACTGTATTTCAGCCACCTTAAAAAGTTTTGCAAATTGGAACGTTCTCTCCAGAATTGTCACCAACTAAGAGAGGCAAAAGTAAAAACAAACAAATACACAAAGAAAAAAACCCCAAACCAAAATAATCCCAATCGCCCCCCCCCCCCAAAAAAAAAACCTCAGCCTACTCAGCTTATATTTGTTTATGTTGCCTGATGTTCTTAGACCTGGTAATKCTCTCCTTTAAAGAATGATCAGATGTCTGGTCTAGCTTGYCACCTTTGTTCTAAGATGTTCAATGATATATCTTCCTCTCCTAAATAATCTTCCTTATTGTTGCTAGCTTAAATAAGAAGTTACCTTCTAGATGCTTGGCATTACTGAACTGTTGTTATTCTTACATTGAGCAACTTCTCTCCTACTTAGTCGTAGGTTGAAGGGTTGGTTTTGGAAAAAGATTAAAAAAAAATTGGTCYGTAAAAAGTAGCAGATCCCAGTCATCCATTGTCCTTTAGGAAAGAGGGTGAAGAATCCATGTTCCTACCCTGTKAACCCCAAGAAAGCTTGAGACAACTTCCATGTAGTTGCACCTCATGGACAGCAAGAAAGAGTAATTTGTATATTTGGTCTATGCCAGATAATACTTCTGGGTAGGAGAACTSCACCTCAAAGCAGAGGGTCACCAGTGTCAATGAGATTCAATTACACAGAATATCAACATCTTAATAACATTCATGAGACACTGTAAAAACTGGATACTTYCTTTATAATATTGTCAAATAAACAAAGCTGGACTTAACCATGGCAATGTGCTTTGATTTGTTAGTTCATAAGCAAGGAAACAATAAATTTTCTATTACGTTTTACTGCTGGAGTACATTATACACATAAATGTCTAATTTAAAAAAACAAACCTTAATGCTGCTTATTTTGATGCTGTTTATTTTTAAATAATTRTAACCATTGACATATACAATCATCTTAATTTATTTTCTGATTAAATTTTTTTTGTATATACAAGTTGAAATTCTGAAAGTAACACAAGAACTGTTTTGCGTGCTCTCTAATTGAACATACTGAAGTGTATTAATTTTCTCATCAAAATGTACTTGAAGTTGCCTCTCATCAATCCTGTGATAGCAGTCATGTCAGCMAAACAGTTAAGAGTCAGGATGAACTAAGCTGTTGTAAAAATGAGTCAGCCATTTACCTCAGGATCCTCCAGAGCCATTGTGTGCCTCACTTTTACTGTTCCCAACAAAAAGGTGAAAGCCACAGAGAAATGCAACATGTAAATTGACACTGGATCAAGCTAACATAGACTTAGTAACACAGACTCAAATATCTACCTTTTAAATTGTCTCATTATTCCATTTCCTATTCTTCTTTACAATTCATTTCTAAAACCTGGTTTCTCTAAAACAACTCAATCCAAAAAAAGCCACTTCGATTTTACAGTGTAATGCCCCACACAAAATCTCCCTCACTGGCTTCAGAGATGATTTTCATGTGTATAATATAATCTGATGTCAGCTGTGGAGAAAACTGGTTTTGAAGTTTGTAACAGTTGCTTAGAAATGAAACTTTTTTAAACTAATTATTAGTATAACTAATACATATTCATTCAGCTGCCCTAAGAAACAGAAGGACCACGATGATATTGCTCTCTCTTTACACATCAGTGGAATACTACGACTACTACTACCACTACTACCATTACACACTGGCTTTCTGTTGGCTGCATCATGCTGTGGAAAAGTTTGTTGAAGAGCCCAACTTGAAAATACTTGTATTACACTGCCAAGGCTGAAATTTAMCTTCTTGTAAGCCAAGCTGAAATAATCATCAAGTTCTACATCAGATGCCCACAGTAGTAAAAATATTTGAAACTGATCCTTCCAGCTCTTCAGGGTACTGGCACTCCAGGATGCATATATTCACACGTCAGTTTAACACACGGCAGATTAAATATGACTGTACTAATGTCATTTACAAGACAAATATAACAGGTGAGCTACTCCAATGAAGGTGTTTGCAAAACTAAAAACTTAGAGYATCTAATTCTAGAAGACATTCTACGCAAATTCAGATTTATATTCCTTAACATAGCCTATATGATGGGGAATGGTCAGAATGATAGCTAAACTTTCAATAACCAACAAAAATATAATATTTAGACTTTCAAAAAGGTAGACAAAATCTCCAGTTCTTTCCAATGAYACTCATAATTTTGTCATGAAAAGCTTTTGCCAGGCAAATCAGTGGCATGCTGATATGCAATCTGCTAATGTAAGACTAACAAAAGACTTCACCTCCTTACCAAATACTTTCAAAACATAATCATGTACAAAACGTAGGCAGCTGTTTAAGGACAGGCAGTAGCAAGACACTGATGAAGAAAATTCCATCCCAGAGAGATTTAAGGCAGAAGGAAAGGCTTAGATGTTCTGATTATTCAGAAAAAGTAGCCACAGCATGATCCATGCCAAGAATTTAGACCAGTGAAAAACAACCAAGTACAAGTGCCTGGAAAATAAGGAGCAGCAACATGAGAGAGGCACTATTGTATGTCCTTTACCTATTCCATCCACTCCAGCAGATTTCATCTTTCCCTTGTCGTGTTCTCTGTGCTATTTGCATGACATGATAGGGCGTATAATATGCTGTGCCTGCTTTTTTAGTTTKTCCATGTCCTTTTATTTTCCACTGAGTATCTGGACACTAGAATGCTGAGAAACTAAAATTTCCAGTAGAACTGTTCTRTTAAAGATGTGATGAGAAAACAGAATATAAATAATGTAAGTCTGTGTCCTTCCTGTAACAGTTCTGTTTCCTCAAAAAACGTAAGCTTCAATGGAGGTAAAAAAAAAAAGTAAAAATTCTGGTCTTCTAAAATTCCAATATCGATCCAAACTCATGAAAGTTTGCTTAAAATTTGTTTTTCTACATGTTTCTCATTTTGGCCATGAGTTCTTCTAGGCTTTCTTCAGACTCTGCTACTGTCTCCCCAGCTGTGAAATTCTCTTCCTAGTAGAAACAGGAAGAAAAAGTTTTCAGCAAAAAAAAGCAAACAAAAGCACAAATTAGCTTAATTGCTGTTATACCACACCATTTTCCTAGAACCAGGCACTCAATTGTGAGATTAGCCCTAAGTGTTTTAAATTTCATTTGTAAACTATTTTGACTAGGAGTTAGAATGTTCTTACTGCAATACATTCAGATTCTGTGTTCCCCAGGCATACTCATTGCTCTTTGATTACATACAGCTTTTACAAGATATGATAAAAATTAACTAGTCACCAAAGTTTCAACTGAGAAATTCACATTTGCTGTCCCTGCCCCAGCTCCCAAATGCATTCATTTCTATAGTTTCAGAAATGCATTCAAATTAGCATCCACAATTAAAGAAATGTATTTCACAGAAACACAGAACTGGACCACAGAAAAGAATAATCAAATTAACTGAGGTCAAGTTTCACTGGAATTGTTCAAGATGGAATTCTATTTTAGATTTAAAAGGGTAACCAAACTGCCTGCTATTACAAATTTACAATAATTAATCTACAATGTKTATTTCAAAAATTCTTAAAGAATAAATACATTACCTTGTCTGGGATAGTATATGCTACACTAATTCCTTCAGGAAGCTCAGGTACTGGGCCAGATGCAGCCTTCAGCTCATCTTCTGAAATTTCTGATACTAATTCGATGCCTTTGCATTAAAAGGAAACAAGAACTCCATTAAAAGTTAGAAGAAAAAGTTCTTTATTTACCAAGTTGTCACAGTGAGAGGAAATCTGCAGCTACTTTTCCAAAACAGAATAAAATTAAAAGCAGAAAGACCCTTGATTTCRACAACTTCATTCCATTATCAATACAAAATATTTTCCCTTTAGAATATATTAAATGGTTCTATGTACACAACTTATAGACGAGAATGACACCTCTTGCTTGTTCTTCCCATTCAAATCTTATCAGGAAGACAGTTCCCTCAATTGTTAGATAGGATTATTTTCTTTATCTTGTAATAAGCATGTATATCTCCATTCTTGAAATGGTTACATAAAACACATTTACCATTCTTTAAGACAGTTCCTTCTAATTTAAAACTGTCAGAGGATTGTAAAAATCCATGGGATGACTCAGCACAGTGGTTATGGAAATGACAAATGGTCTTTAGTATATTTAGCAGTAGTATGCAGTTAATAAATCTTCTCACATCTCTCCTCTTCCAAGCAGCAGTTCATTATTCAAGCAGCAGTTATATTTTGAGCCTAAAACCTGCACATTGCACTAAAAACACATCATCAAGTTGTGGTAAAATTACTTTCAAAACCTGTGGAAAGCCAAAAGTAATTACAGTGTAACTTACCAAAAGTAGGATCTATAAGCATTGTATGTACCCTACACTGGCTTCACCCAAATTGAATCTCAGTACTGGGAACATCATTAAGTCTCCAGTTGATAACTTACCCCAGTCATTGTCTTCGTGTACTATTTCTTCTTCCTTTTCAATTACTTCCTCTTTTGGTCTTGCAGCTTCTTTTTTCTGTAGGAATACCACAAAAAATAYAAACCACATAATAACCAAAATTTAGCCATCCAATTTCCAACAACAGCAGCGAAGATCAAGCCTAATATTCACATTTCTTTCAATATTTAAGGCAAGTTCTAAATGGTGACTGCTTAGGAACAAACAGGCAGAATACCTGCAAGCTAAAAAACCACCAAACCCACTAACAGTCAGAAACATACAATAGCCAGAAAGGTAGAGCAAGTATATAAAGGAAAATATTATTTAACTGAATGCAAGCCATTCTTCCTATCCTTTAAGTACTGTGTATCTAGACACATGTGCAACCATATGAAGATGAGGCTGCTGAAAACTGGAGTAGCAATGAACGTTTTCTTTTGCTAGAGATTCATAGCTTGCTTGGTTCTTAAGATTTTAAGAAAGGGGAAAAAAGCCCCTAAACAAACCCAAACAATTTTTACCTTATACTTTTCTTGCTGTTTTCTGCAATTGTGGTCACTACATTGGGGGTTTGGCTTCATTGACATAGTTGGGAAGAAATCCTGCATCGCATTGTAACCAAGATAATAACTCACAGTACCAAAATTTAACAGGTATCTAGAGACACAGAGAAAGAAGAAGCTTGTAATACAGGTGCAAACCTAAAACTTCAGTTGCTTGAGGAATAATTTTTCCTCAAAGAACATTTAGAGTACAYTTTCACACTAGTGCAGTTGTAGAGTTTCTCTAATTGCCTTAAATCCACTTACACTACAGTCAGCTGGTAACAGCATAACTAGATCAATATAGAATCCCATCCTCTCATGGTGTGAATGAATAAGCCAGCTACAGTCTCAGAAAAAAATATGTTTAGAGTTGTATGTAAGCAGTTTTCTCCCATGCYTTAATCCATAGCTTGAATCACTCAGGTGTCCTGTGTTACAGAGGGGAACTTGTCAGAGCTGATCACAATCAGTTTAGTCACCTTTATTGTAGGTGATTTGAATTAAAACAAAGATTTGAATTAAACTGAAATATTTGCATTCTTTCTTCAAGAAAAACACCTCTCTCTGCACAGCTGAAAATAGAGCTTTGTTGTTTATGCACACCTGCAAACAGTACTTTTATTCCTTGTAACYTGAAATTTTTGTGTAACTGACCAAACCAAGCTAAGGCTAAAACAGGCTAAATAAAATCTTGTTCTCAAAAATCTTGTTCTCTCTTGTTCAACACTCTGTCATTCTGAAAAGGACTACAAAATTGTTCAAATATTTTCCTTGCTAATATATGCAATTCTTTTAGCAGTTGGAGTCACGTGACAGTACTTTAAAAATATTAAAATGTGCCAATGCTTTATAACTATTTTTCATTCACCTCAGGTTTCTAGAATACAAACACCACAAGAGAAATAATTCTTTGTCCATGTACAAAATTTCAAACACAAGGCAGCAGCATAGCATTTTATGTGTATAACTTAATGATGTCAAATCAGAGCATGTTTAAATGCAGAGCTAAGAAAAAAATGTGCATGTTTGGATGCATTAAAAAAAGTTCTTTGGAAAATTCTGAGACTGTTTCTTACCCCTGMAAAGTTCTATTTAAAATACAAGCAGTATGTATTTCAGCCCCATTCAATGTTGCCAGTGCCATTAGGAAATGGGTCACAGACATATAACATATAAAACGTTTGTAGGCCTGTCATTATGAAATGTTTCTTCATTTTTTTTTCTCTCATATTGTGTTGAGTAGCAACAACTCAGTCACTTACTTGAGAACATTTTGTACAAGCATTCCTGCCACAACACCCATGGTTGTAGGAAGACTGGCTGCACAAACTCCTTCTCGCTTCAATGTCTTCTCATCAATATTTGCAGCTACTACAAGTGGAGGAGCACACTGAGAGACAATAAAGAAATAAGGCTGTAAAAAGCATTCAAGAAATCCCACATGTCACACAAAATTTTAAGTTACTGCATCAGCTGTGCCAGGATCTCACTCCTTAGCCAGCCAATCTTCACATCCCCAGCCCCACTTTAAAAGGCAAGTGAGGAACTCAGCAGAGCACTACATACCGCAAAACAAGCAGATTCACCAGGTATGATCAGCTGTATGTGTCCTGACACTGCATTTTCACTCACTCCAGACTCCATCCAGATTTGTCCAAGCTCATTGCAGGCCTTGAAACACAAAAACACACACATGTYAGCACTGCAGAAGTTCAATAAAAAGAAACCCTAATAATATGATAAATTGGGAGTGATGAAACACATTTATCTCCCYGCTTCAAGACAAAACAGCTATGATCAGAAAAAGGGACATGAGAGATAGAATAGAAATTATTTATCAAAGGAAAAATCAAACAGCCACTTAAAGTTGCCCTCATGAAGCTAGCCCTCTGTGCTTTCCTGACAACCTGAGATTTTTAAAAAATACAAACATAACTGATCCAGTTACRGTACACTACAGAATGTAATTCCACAAGCAATTTTTAGAGGCTTGGATACAGCGTATCTGTGTACCTTCCCTGACTGCAATTTCTGGATCAAGTCAGCTGAAGGATAGATCTATGTACAGAAAACATAGATTTGGCATATACCCTACATTGGCKGCTCCTATAAAGAAAAGCAGTTTGATTAGGTACACAGCACTTTTAGCTTGCAAAAMCTCATATGAAGCATATAATTAGCTATAGAAAGTCTTTAAAAGTTTGTAAGATTTAACACACCAGCCTTTGAAAATGCCTTTATGTAAACAGAGTAATTTGCAATGGCAGAGACAGCTTATGACACTTTAGTCTTTTACTAACCATYAGCTGCTAGTAACTTAAAAGTCTACAATTATATCTAAACACATAAAATGAGTTTATAAAAGCTGAGTTAAARCTCAGATTCCTCAAGCCAAGGAGGACATTATTAGGAGATTCTTTTWAAGTTCCTATCTTTTCTACAGTCCCACAATTTTAACATTATTTATAAGAGAAAATAGACTTGCACAAGCTCATGCCTTCGATGGCCTTACCGTGTTAATTGCCATGCGAGCTTCAAAGTTGTCCACGCAGCTTAGAACCAGATCCACAGGCTTCCCTTCCTCCAGKGCACCGTTACTGAAATGAGCATCAGAATTCTGCATGAAATTGCTGGCAGAACAAAACACCAACAAGGCAACCCACACCTGCTTTAGAGCCTATGGGAAGTGAATTTCTAACAAAACTCATGCAAATGCAGGATGTACAGGATACAACCAGCATCTTAGATATGAAGTAGAAACGACAGCATGCTGAAACTGAAATTTAAATACATGGGCATTTTAGACTCACTTTTATATAGCATACACCCACAGTACAAGGCATTGGAGAACCGTATCTTTGTACACCTGAACTACAAATGGTAAAAGTTATTTCAGATCTTCTCTGTGAGATCCACTAATAACTATTTWCTTTTTTMTTTCTATAAAACATACCTGAAACTATTACCAAGCACTCAAGACATGATCTGATCTGTTTTCTATAATGGAAAAAGCCTTTAAAACCTACAGTTCTGGTTGGAAGTCTAAAGAAGCACTCATACAAAATGTAACTATGTAACAGGAGAAACAAATGCCAAGTCTAGAGAAAACATCTAGGCAGGAATGTCTTCATGCATATCCCAGAAGTTTTCAACTGGAAGTTATTATATTGAAAAAAAAAAAAAAACAACAAGAAAAGCTTGAGACTGTGTAGAACCACACATCAGCAGAAGTTGGCAATATGCTTGGTTGGGAGATTTTACCTTATTCTATCCATGAAGTGTTCAAAGTTGTCCAGTGTTGTGATGTTGTAGTTATGTACTTCAAACTGAACATCAGGATTTATATCCCTATGGAGGAAAGAAGAGGAGTCAGTACTAAAGATTACAATGATAACTTGTATTCTACTCCCTAACTTCACAAGTATTGCTACAGTCTTAGGTTTCCAGTCTGAACTCTAGAATACAGCCATATTTGTCAAAAATTCAGATTAGATAAGGAAAAAACCTCACAACTTATTGGAATGGAAAAGATTATACCAAACTTCTGAGCAAAACTTGCTAYACTTAGAAAGTAGACTCACACTAAGGTTTTGGCCAGTACAAAAATGCCTTTAAAGTCTCTATCATCCCCACACTTTWTACTCAAATTCCCAAAATAGATCACGCTCCTTTGCAAATGATTAAAAGTGAAACTGGTTTTCAGGAGCAGCATCCTGGTTAAATACATTTTGACACCCACTTCTCTGAGTTGTACCTCAAAGTATGTTCTGCTGCTTGCACTTTACTTAGTCCAGCTTGATGAGGTTGGAAGAAGAGTCTGTTCATGTTTGCCAGTTCCACTTTGTCATAATCAAACAGAAGTAGCTACAATAGAGATTTTTTTAACATGTGTGAATCTCCAATGGCTCTGCAAACAGAATACTATAGCAAAGCATTTTGAACAACAAAACTAATTCTAAAGCAAAAACCAAACATAAAAAACCATAACCAAACTGTCTTCCCCACAGGCCCATTCAGTTCACATACAAAAGGTCATCATAAGTACGTGAAAAATTGAACTAATTTGTTATGCCATTAAAATTACTCCTAATAAAAAGCTCTCTATTTGATCTAAGCTAATATTAATCTACATGATCACTATMATCTCTGTTATTACRTTCCTACTTRCTGACACAYAACAAACTTAATGTTTGTTATAAAGATATGTYTTTCATCTATCACATTTCAATTTCATTAATAGAAACTTGATTTTTGTAAGCCTTTATCTTTTATGTGAAATACTCCKTCCTTTTTCTTTATTTTGTTTTTCTTTTGCAATAATCCAGCATGAACATTAGACAGATGAGTTCATACARGAATATGGAGATGACAAGCATCCAAACAAGAATCACCCACATGATAATCCACAGGATTAAGCCTTAAATAAATAAATTTTATCAGGATAATGAAAATACTCTTCACGTGCAATGTTTATGCAAGTGCTGTTCTTGACTGCTTTCTTCACAGTATTTTTTTTATTTGGGCAAATTAACAGAGTGAAATCAAATTCCTTACAAAGGGGAGTGGTCCATCTACTGTAAAGAAGTAGAAGAAAAAAGAAGCTCTCATTACCTTACCAATGCCACACCTTGTCAGCATTTCAGCAGTCACACTGCCAACRCCACCTACACCTACTACTGCAACTGTAAAGGTGCGGATTTTCTGTAGAAAGAAATAAAACACACATCARTATATCAAAAGTGGTTCTCACAGGGAAAAAATGCAAGCAATCTTTCATTATGGATAGAATCTTACCTCATAGTCTTTGACAATTCCCATTCTTTTTAACGCCATCAAGCGACTATGAAGAAAAAGAATGCAGTGTTATACAGAAAATGTTGCTTATGTTTCTAACAGCAATTTTGCTTTTCAGGTATTTAAAATAACTTTTGCTTTCAAAATAACCTCACCAAGAACCCCCCCGTTTCCACTGCAGTTGTGATTGCCAGCTAGGTACAGTCTCAATGACAGAGTAGATGCTCTCCTATTTGTACCAGAGTCCTAACCCTGCAGAAACTCATGTACTTATACTGTTGGTATGAGTAATATTGATGAAATCAGGAAGGCACAGCTATTTTTGTAAACAGATCCATGATTTACAGAATGAAAGATGACRCTTTGGTTTGGTGATGAACCATATGGCAGCAAACTTGTGAGGAGTTGCACTGTTTTCTGAACGATCTGATTAAACTAACATAGCATTGAAAAAAAAATAAATAGAGACTATCAGGTTTTGAGGATAACAGAAAGGATTTTGAAGTAACATTTGATCCCTCAATTGCATTTTTTTCATGAAAACACAAGCATCAGCTTGTAAGGAAAAATAAAGCCAAACCCAAACCAACAAAAGAAAAACCCCAAAATCCAAAAAGCCATCAAATTTCTAGAAGAAAAGGGGTTTCTAATGCTATAGAATATGAAAAACTTCTATAAACCAAACTCTAAAATCGCCAGTTGGGAGAAATAAGACCTCATGTAATATCAACACCTGTCCCATTTATTAGCAACCTAGCCGAAAAACTCTTAAGGTTTTTTCTCTCTCTCCCTGCCTCTACTATAAACCAAAATAATACAAAATAACCCTGACATACACTCCTGCCAGCCCATCCAGSTGGGGAATCCCAGAGCATCTCTCCCCTGCTCCGCACAGAGCCCCCATCTCCTGCACTGCTCGGGTACCCTCCTGAGCAAATCCAGCCCCATCCCTGCGATCCCAGTTCCCTCCACCCCCTTGTGCCTCTGCCCCTTCACCCAGCCTCACTGCTCCAACCCACGGCCTTCCCTGTTCCCCATCCTTCCCATCCTGGCGGAACCCCCTCAGCCCTCAGAGCACCTGTAAGGGTTGGAGTCGGTCACTTCGGGGCTCATGGTGTCGATGCGGGCCCGCCCCGCTCCCCGTCCGCGCTTCTCCCGGGCCAGCTCCTCCTCCAGCTCCCGCACACGSCGCTCCAGCCGCTCCAGCCGGCCGGGATCCGCCATGGCAGCGACACGTCTGCCCGGCCTGCAGAGCTTCCGGGAAGCGCCGGGGCGGGCCCTTCCCTTCCCGGAGCCGCCTTTCCCTCGTCGGGGCGGACCCTTCCCTTCCCGGGGCCGCCTTTCCCTCCCCGGGGCGGGCTCTTCCCTTCCCTCCTCGGGGCGGGCTCTTCCCTTCCCTCCTCGGGGCCGCCTTTACCTTCCCAGAGCCGCCTTTCCCTGCTCGGGGCGGGCTCTTCCCTCCTCGGGGCGGACCCTGCCCTTCCCGGGGCGGGCTCTTCCCTTCCCGGGGCCGCCTCCTCACGCCTGGCGGCGGGAGCGGACTGAGGGGCAGTGTCCTGCGGGGCGGTGCCTGGCTCCAGGGAAACGCCGTCTTCCGGGAGAAGCCAGCGGCCCTGACAGCCAGGGGGTCGCGAAGAGCTGTCCTTGGCCGAGCCSGTGACCCGAGGATGGCGGCGGAGCCGGGCACCAGCGAGGTGCGGCGGCAGCACCGCTTCGACCAGGGCAGCCTGGAGCGGTACYTGAGCAGCCACCTGCCCGGCTTCCCTCGGCAGCCCGCGGGCGCGCTGGATGTCAGGCAGTACAGGTAACACAGGTGACTGCACAGGTGACTGGCACAGGTGACACAAGTGACTGGCACAGGTGGCGGGGCCACCGCCACTCCCCTGCCCCAGAGCAGCCCGCTGCCGCCTGGCAGGGAAGGTGGTCAGAGGCAGAGCTCTTTGCCAGGGAGATGGCCATCGAGAGATTTTTAAGATGCATTCTGACTAAGTCCGATCGAAGGGACGTCCTAGCTCGTCCCGTGAGCGGCTGGAGAAGGCAAAGTTTGCGGTGGCGGCCAAGGTGACCTTTGTCACAGGCAGTCTGGCCGTCTGTGGGCGGGCTGTGTGTTAGGTGGACTGCCCGCTGACCTCGGAGTACATCCACGATAGTTTTACTGTCTACACATAAATCTCAGTTGATCTGCTCCGTCCTTAATTGCACAGTAAATTATAGCGTCCAAAAGCACATACGTGGCTTAAGAAATCATGTTACCAGGGAAGCAAACCCACGGGAAGAACATAAGGATGTGCCGATGTTCCCGTCAATGCCTGGAGCGCATTAATGGGAGTTAATATGGCAGTGTGCCATGAAGGTGCTACACCCAAGCTCCAAAGCCACTATTCCATAGCATACTAAGTTTATTTTCATTCAGCAAATCAGTGGTGTGGCTGCATGGCTTCATGTCAGGTACTTAATATTAGAAGTAAAGTTATTCTAAAAATGAGGATTGATTCCCTTGTAAGCGTGACTTCAACTGGCTTATCTGCAGCTATGACTAAGAAATAGTGAGCAATTTTTCATTGACTTCTGATACAAATATAAAACATTCATTCAATCCACAGTTGTGCCCTAGTCTTCGTATGTACCTCAGTTGAAGAGACTTTAGCAGTGGCCTTAGGAGAGTACCTAACAGTGAAATCTGCTAAAATTTTGTTAACATTCGTGCTTTACTACTTTGTCTTTTAAATGCAGCTCAGGGCTTCAGCTGACCTAAATTTCTTTTGTGCCAGGCARAATATTTGCTTGTTAAACTATTACAAGCTATGCCCTGACTGCTTTGAGGAGAGCGGAAATGTAATGGGAGGAATGAAAACAAAAGTTAATTTGATTCTTGTTTTCCAGTAATTGTTCAATATTTTATTGAACTAAGTCAGAATACATCTTAAAAATGAACCAGAATGAGGAGTGAAAGGCATGCAGATTAGCAGAGCGCCTTGAGAAAAATAAGGATCAGCGGTCTTGATTGGACTGTTACAAACTAGGTGTTAGGAAGGGTTTACCTAGATTGTTCTTCTCTTCTACACATGTATGTGATTGAAATGTCTAATTTTCTTTCTGACTCCAGCATTCATTCATTCATGTTTTATARTTCCTGTAGGCTGTCCCTTAAGCATAATGTATAGGCATGGTGATCAGGCTGGGAGTCAGTGGGGCTTGATATTAGAATTGTTAGTAATTTAATAATAGAGTAATTTGGGCTGGAAGGGATCTTAAACATCACGTAGTTCCAGTCTCCTGCCATGGGCAGGGACATCTTTCTCTAGACCAGGTTGCTCAGAGCCCAATCCAGCCTGGCCTTGAACACTTTTCAGAGATGGGGCAACGGCAACTTCTTTGGGCAGCCTGTTCCAGTGCCTCACCACTCCCACAGTAAAGCATTTTTTTTCTAATATCTAACCTAAAGCTATCCTCTTTCAGTTTGGATCCATTTTCCCTTGTCCTATCGCTACATGCTCCATCTCTAATTTGGAGAGCTTTCTTTATGCTTATGTTGTTCAAAATAAGTTCTCCAAAAGACAAATACAATTATGAGCCAGTAAGAATTCTGCTTCATTTAATTTCCTCCCARTCAGAAAGCTTTGAATTTAGCATCTAATGAATACTTAGAATATTTATGATGTCTCTTTAGGGAGAGGGGTAAATGCTACAGAAGAACAAACTGGCTATCTGWGACCTCTCCACAGTGAAGGAAGACMTCTTTCTTATAGGCAGGAATAGAAACTCTGACTTCTGATTTTGCAGGCTACCACTTGCTTCCTTGTAAGACTAGATTTGGGAAAAAACCCACAACACAAAACAACTCTTGAGAAGAACACTTTCTTCCATCCTGCCCTTTTGTTCAGGTCAAGTGAAATGTGCATTTTGCAAGTATCACTTCTTTTAGAAGTTTAAAAATTTGTAAATACTTGAATTTTTGAGTAATTATAATCTTTCTCTTTGCAGCTCAGGCCAGTCAAACCCTACCTTTTACCTTCAGAAGGGTGGGCAAGCTTTTGTGCTCAGGAAGAAGCCCCATGGTCCCCTTTTACCTAGAGCACACCAGGTAAGTAACATTCTTCACCAAGCTCCAAACACTTCATATTGCAGGTGACCAGGGTCTGTACATGACGGTCCAGCACACTGAGGAATGTGTCCAGAAATGCATTTCCCTTGCCAGATCATTTCCCATGTTCTGTGCTCTACGTATATCAAGAGGATACATTGTCATTCACTTCTCATTTATCTTGGGAGGTTTTAATTGAACTCAAATTTCTGTGTCTTCTGCAGGTCGATAGAGAATACCGTGTGCAGAAAGCCYTATTTTCAGCTGGATTTCCAGTGCCTGAGCCCCTGTTGTACTGCAGTGATGTTTCTGTCATTGGAACAGAGTTTTATGTCATGCAGCATGTGCAGGTTGGTCCTCCAGTGTGAGAGATTCTTTCCTTGTCCTTACTACAAGCTGCTTTTAAATTGTCTAAAAGMTTTTTGTTAATCCAGGACAGTTTTGTGATATGAGTAGAAGTAAGCTTCTGATATTTTTAAGAAATGCTGGCTATCGGTGATTCTCACAGATTTCAACTTTTCTAGGGCTTATTTCACACTTTGTTGAGTTTTTCAGCTCAGTATTTCTTGTTCTTGTTCGAGCTCTCAAAAAGATGTCTTGAAATGAGACAAGATTGCGTCTGTGAAAAACATACACAACTCAGAGGGAGAAAAATTTGTCTATAAACTGAATCTTTGGACRTCCTGGAGCCTGTTTAGTATTGAAGATAGGGACTGACATACAATCACCTTTTCTTGAAAATAAAGCAGTATTCCAGTTCAAACTCTACTTTCAGAAAAAACACAGCATAGCTCTGTGGTCCACTACTCTGGGGGTGCTGTAGCTGAGTTGATATGCTTTCTGCTTAGATTTTGGTGATTTGAAGCATAAGTCCGCCATACTGTGTCTTTTTTTTTTTTTTTTTTTATCTTGTGGGAGGAGTAGAATTCAGGCCTCTTCCCTTTTCATTGGATCCCACTCTATCATCAGGTTCACTGGGAAATTAGAAATGTATGTTTGTGAGCCAGTTTCTGAAGGTTAAGTTAACCTYCATACAAAAACCATAAATCAAGGGTAACAGAATGTAAAAGCTGTGAAAAATTTGAAACAGATTTCTTGCACTAAGKWTGGAGAGWTTTTCTAGTTTTGACCAGAACRAAGYGATTGCTTAAGAAGAAACCTTGTTACATTCACAAGTATGTAAGGTATAGTCTGTCCATTCTACGATGGACTGSCCCACTCTGTTTTTAACAATTGTGAAAATGGAAAAACACACCCATCTTCTAAATGTATTCAACTGCTTTTAAGGAGAAAACAGGTGAATTTCTTTGGACTGTTTGCCTCTTTGTGCCCACAACTCCTCCTTTTGCATTCCCCTCCTTTTCATGCCTGCCTCTCCACCCACCACACCAAGGTCATAATTGGTATTTTTCCTGCAACTTAGCTGTTAGAGACAATGCAGACCCATTTTTCCTGGTACTCAGAAGCTTGAGGATACCAGGACTGAGTGTTCTAATTCAGACTTTCATCTACAGATACACCATAYACTAATGACCTGGGATTACTGTGAATCCCTTCATTGGCCCTGGGCAAGGAATAAAATAAATGAGGAATGAATTTTTGATTGCATGGGKAGTCTTGGTTCACTACATTTGTTTTTGGTCGTGGAATGTATTGCTTGTATAGCTTTACTTCTTTTCATCTGATATGTACATCCCACTAAATACCTGATTTATGATATTTCTAGGGTCGCATTTTCCGAGACTCCTCGCTGCCTGAGGTGGGCCCAGCAGAGCGTTCTGCTCTTTATCTTGCAATGATAGAAACTTTGGCCTTGTTGCATTCCTTCGATTTACAGTCATTGGGTCTCCAAGGATATGGCAGAGGACCAGGATACTGCAAAAGACAGGTACAGCTCTTAACATTTTCTTGTTTTGTCTGGTCTTTGAATGTTTATTTGATTTTTAAGCTAAATTGTTAATTAGTAACGRTCATATTTTAGCTATTAAACACCTTCACTTAGTTCAATTAATTGTGCACAGTCTAAAGCCACTATTACATTCAGATTGATTCTGTGAAGCTATACTTAGGGAATGATACTCATTTGCTTTTGGAATAATGCTAGACTTGAGCTATGTAAATAGGATTGAAGTAGATGTAGTCTTCATTTCATCTATTGATATCTCAGTTCACATTTGCAGATGC